CCCCCCCCCCCCTCCCCGGACACAGGCGCCGTGCGCGGTGCCTCCCTCTCGCTCTCTTGAGGGGGCGTGCCTGGTCACCGCCGGGCCACTCCGGCCGGCGGGTGCCCAGGTCCGCCTGCCGGCGGGCTTCTGCAGTCCCCCGCCACCCCCTGGCACCTTGTCCTGGACACATCGCAGGCAGGCCGGCAGGCAGAAACCGGGGATGACCGCTAGCTGACCGCGGGCGCTTGCCCTTCGGGAGGGCGGCTTCTCGCGTCTCCCCCCGGTCCGACGAGCGCCCGGACCCGGGCGGCCATTCATTAATCCCGGCCGTTTGCCAATTTCCGTTATGCACATTGATTTTCGAGATAAGCTCATGCGCGGCGCCCTTTCCGTGTTCGCACTGCCGGCCGGAAAGCCCGAGCCCGCCCACCCCCGCCCCCCCCCCACACACATACACACACGCCGGTGTCAGCGCGTGCAAGTCCCGCCGCCCTGTGTTTGGGGGGCAAGCGCCTGCGTCTGTGCGCGCACATGGGTGCGGGCGGGCGTGTGCGTGTGTTTCCGCGCGCCCGCGCGGAAACCGACGGATCGACCCCGAAATAACGACCCCCATTGCCAGGGCAATCTGGTACGCCTGCCTCGGTTCCGCCAGTCCGCACGCCCCCGGCTGGCCGATTGTCCCGCCACCCGCCCGCGCGATGTCTCGACGCCAGGGCCGGGTCGAGCAGAGCCCCCCCCCCGCTCGCAGCCCGCCCCCCAACGTGGGACAACGCACCTACGTGACCGGATCGCGAGCGGCAGCGTGCTCCACTCCCCCCCCACCTGCGTCCAGACCACCACCCTTCGAGGCACCCCCGGAGGGGGGGGGGGGGGGGATCGAGTCATCGGGCAGTGCCCCGGCGCCCGGGGGCGGGGATCTCCCCCGCCAGCGTGCTTTCCCTACTGGAGCTCCTTCCCCCCCCCCCCCTCCCCCTTCTCCTCCACCCCTTTTTCGCCCTGCTCCCGTTGCCCCGCGCCCCCTTCTCTCCTCTTGCCCCCTGGCCAGCCCTCCCCAACCCTTCTCCTCCCGCTGTGCAATGAGCGTCGAGCTCAATGAGCCCGGGCTCCGGGACTTCGGCCTCATGGCCGAGGTGTCCGAGAAGCTTTTTGTCGAGAACCTCGAGACGCGCTTCAAGGCCAATGAGATTTACGTATGCCCCTACTCGGCTCGCCTGGTCCCCCCCCCCCCCGAGCCCGGCTGCCCGCTGACCCTCTTCCCCTCTCCCACCTTGCCCCCGCTCCCCGCTCCCCGCCCCTCCGCCCAGACTTTCATCGGCCATGTTGTTGTGGCAGTCAACCCGTACCGGTCCATGGGCGATCTCTACTCGGACCGGGTTATCGACCAGTACCGGTCCAACAGCTCGTACAACCTTCCGCCGCATATGTGCGTCCTCCTCGGCGGGGCCCGCCCCTCTCTCCCCCCCTCTCTTTCTCTCTCTCTCTCTCTCTCTGCGTGCTCTGTCTGCCCCACTGACACCTCCCCCTGCCATGCGCCGCGGTCCCCCCCCCCCTGTTCAGCTACTCGATCGCCGACTCGGCATACCGGAACATGCGCGACCGCGGTGAGGATCAGTGCATTCTCATCTCCGGCGAGTCGGGTGCCGGTAAGACCGAGGCATCGAAGCTGATCATGCGCTACATCGCGGCCACCAGTGTCCGCAGTGACAGCGAACGCATCAAGACCATCCGCGATCAGCTGCTCAATGCGAACCCGGTGCTCGAGGGTGCGTCCGCCTTTCCCCGTGCCCCCCTGCCCGCCCCCCTGCCCACTCACCAACGCGCCCTCCAACCCATCCGGCCGTCGCCTGGCCTCTTATCATGCGTCAGCCTTCGGCAATGCCAAGACCTCGCGAAACAACAACTCCTCCCGCTTTGTGCGTAGCCCCTCGGCTTGGCAGTCTGTCCTACTCTCTGCGTGCCCTCGCGCAGGCGCTAACTCTTTCTTCCCCCCCCTCTCCCTGGCCTCGGCCAACAGGGCAAGTACATGGACCTGGAGTTCGACTTCCGCGGCTCCCCCGCTGGTGGTGTCATCACCCAGTGTGCGTGACACGCCCCCTCCCTCTTTCCTCCCTCCTGCGCCCTTTCCCTCTCTCCCGCTCTCTCTCTCTCTCTCTCCCATACGCACACTAACCCTCTTTTGTCACCCCCTGCCGGCCTGGCACGCGTGTCCTCCCCTGTAGATCTCCTGGAGAAGGTGCTTCTGGGCATGGCATCTCGGTCTCCGGCCCGCCGATCCTCCCTCCCGCGCACGCACGCACGCACGCACGCACGCACGCACGCATCCTAACTCCCGTCTTCCCACATCCTGGCCATAGTCGCGCGTCATTCACCACGCCCCAGGCGAGCGCAACTTCCACAAATTCTATCAGCTCCTGCGTGGATCGACCCCGGAGCGCCTGGGTGCGCCTCTGGACGCCCTTTCGCTGGAGCCCACTCCCCCCTCTCCCTCCTCTCTCCCCCC